TGAGTAGAAAAATTCTGTTTTCATAATAAAGTACCTTTCCCACACTCTTTTCACTAAAGTGATAAGATTATAAAACTTAGACATGTTTCCCTTAAATATTGACTTTCTGTTAATTTATTTTTAATTAAGGTTTTTTTAAAAAATGCAAAACCACATTATTTTGCCTTCCAAGTGTTTTTAAGTGCCAAAAGATGTGTATGATTTGTGTATGTATTCAAATAACATGTAAAGGTATCTGCACTTTTTTATAATAGGCTTTTAAAGCAGTACTTTACATATTTTATTTCTAATAACTTTTGATGTGGATATTATTAACTTATTTTAAAGGTACTATTTTATATAGATTATTGGAGGGCCCTCTGGTGACCTAGTGGGTAAAGAATTGCGCTACTAGGCCAAAGGCATACAGTTTGAATCCACCATCTTCTGAGAGGGAGAAAGATGAGCAGCCTCCTCTTATGTGATTTACAGCCTCTGAAAATCTGCTGGATGGTCAGCCTTGAGTCAATTCTGAGTTGATGACACATAACAACAATACAGAATAATGTTCCTAAATGAGTGCTCAGATATTTTTATGTGTAGATACAGGTGTTTATTTAAATAATCTTGGACCTATTTTAATCAGTATTAGAAAATAGGTAATACAGATACATAAAAGAGCTTTGATTATGTGGTGAATTAAGTATCCAACCACTAGCTGATGGCACAGTGATTTAAATCCATCAGCCAGCCACTCTGTAGGAGAAGATAAGACAGTCTCTTCAGAAAAGATTTAAAGCCTTAAAAACCCTACAGAGCAGCAATTCTACCCTGCCCTGTAAAGTCACTCTAAGTCAGACTCTCCTTGACTGCAGTGATTATTAATACATAACATACAAGTATATCTGTATGTATGATATATCTAAATACATAACAGCAGATCTGATGATGGTGGGTAATGGTTAACCAGTTGATAATACAAGGAGTTCATGGACTGTGTGGTTGACAACGGCTCTCATCTGTTCCTGTAGAAAACTAGAAAGAAATCGCATGAGGCAAGGACCAAACATTAGGATTTAAAAAATTCTTTTAAGAGGTCTGAGGAAGGCACATAAGGAAACTTTAGTCTGATTGGTTTGAAAGCAGCGGTAAGCTGAGTTGCCACAGATGAAGTATACTTTTTAAGTAGAACATTGAGTGTTATTATTTGACAAGGAAAGGGTGTGATTACAATAAGAGGAGCAAATATTGCTTACTGCTTTTGTGCTGTTAATTGAAAGTAGGCAGGTAACATTTGAGGTAGGGAAAAGGATTACATTGTCTGCTAACTGACCTATAAGAGTTATTACCCACCATCGTCATATCTTCCAACTCTGCTGCCTAAAATCAACAGCCTTTCCCTCCTTTAGATGGTTGCACCCATTCAACAGGGAGTAGTTACAAAAGAAAACTTCAACGACCCAAATCATATAACAAAAGGCTGAATTGTTAGGACTGCAGAGCTGCTCTCCTTCCCTGTCCCTAGAATAGCCACAGTTATGATCAAAGCAGTATTTGCAACTCTGTTTATCTCTTTTAGAGCTGCAAAACTATTTCACCTCCCTTACCATGAATAACCATGTACCAACCTACTCCTTTATCTTGTAGCAAGAAGTTGTAAACATCCTAACTCCCCGATTTCCTTGTAAGACAATATGTAACTCCACTCTTAACGTTAAGTAGCTGCTGGTCTCTACTTTAGAGTCAGCCCAGCAGTTTCTTCTCAATAAACTGTCTTTCTTGGCCTGAAAAAAATAAGAAAATAAATATATAACAGCAAACATATTCTTTTACTTGTGTTATTGGTTAACACAAGCCAAGTTTAAAAAAGTTGTATTAAAGAGAGAATAATATATCCATTTAAAAAAATGTAAAAACAATCCAAAAAATATACAAATGACTTCTTGTGTGTTGTCAAGTCAGAAACCTTCAATGCGTTATCAGAGATGTTAATCATTCAAGAGGAGATTGCCCATCTTTCTCCTGCAAGCAGCTCGTAGATTTGAATCATACGCCTTTGGGTTAGTAGTGCATTTCCTTTCTCACTAGGCCACCAGAGCTCATCACAAATTAATAAAGTATTAGAAACATCAGCAAAGATAAAGTTAGAGTGATTATTGAGTGAGGGTACTAAAGCTTAAGATATTATAATGGGGAAAATGGCTTTACAAAAGAATTTCTCACTCATATTAACTCATGGGTTTATGTATATTCATCCATGTTTCTGTCTTTCTCTCAGCAGGCATAAGTCAGTTTTTAAATTAATACATATCAATAAAGTGTATATAAATCAACTAATCCAGATTTTCCTTCAAATCTTTAAAAGATCCCCTCATGTTCTTCTATAAGTGTTAGGTTTTTAAAGTCTTTCCCATCCATCTCTGATAACCTTTTTGTCTCTGCATCTGGTTTGTGTTTTTTCTCAAGTCATCATAATATCTCCTTTTAAAAAACATCTATTGAAAGTTTAACTGGGCCCTAGTCCAAAATAATCTTTTAAGTTCTTAAGGTAGTCAGCTTTGCATGGAAGAGAAAATTCTCTTCAATTATGAGGTTATAGAATATTGGTCCTCAAAATAGAAATCCACTCTAGTTATAAAAAGACTAACTGATATACAAAACTTTCTTTTCTCTCTCTCTTCATATAGAGAGATTTATTGAATTGGATACAAAGAGACAAAACCAATTCTGAGACAAAATATTTAGAAATAATCTGAGTATAAAAGTCAAATTTGTATTTTATATTTTTTTGTGAAAGCATACTCTTTGAAAGATAGCCTCAATGTATTTCGTTTTGGCAAATGTTTTATGCATTCCATAGTTTGATAAGATAGAAGGTTTCTCAAGTCTGGATAAAGAATAACTCATGTGAAATAAGTTGTAATTCTTGAATTATCCCAAAGGATATCATAATTTGGAAAGAAATGTAGTATTCATGGAAAGGCAAGTCATAGAAAAGGAATTTGTAAAAAAAAAAAAAAGAAAAGGAATTTGTGGTTTATTTCCAGCAGCATTAGTGGGAACACTAATATCAGAAGCCTGATATCAATACATGGAGCTCTGGTGTCATACGCTGTAGGGAGCTGTACTGCTAATCCCAGAATGGCACCTGTCTAGGGTTCTAATCTCCTGGTAGCCCAGTGGGAAAAAGATGGGCAGTCTCCTCCAGAGAGATTTACAACCTCTAAAAACCCACTGGAAGGTCAGCTGAGTCTGTTATGACTCATTAACAGACAAAATATAAATTATAAGGCTCAGTGCCATTTATTTATTTATTTATTCATTCATTCATTCATTTATTAATTAATTACAGAGGTTTTGGATTTCCATTCATTCATTGCCACAGTTTTCTCCCTGCCTACCCCTCCCCACCAGCTCACTTCCCCCTCCGAAGAGAGAAAAAGAAAAAAAATTCCTTCATTAATATACAATTCCCACATCCCTTCCCCCCACCCCCACCCCAAGTACACTTCTCTATGCAACCGTAATTCTGGATTCCTGTGCTAACCATAATAGTCAATCATATATCACTTCTAATCTGTTCTTTCCCTCATCTGTTTCAATACAATATACATAATTCCGTTTTTTCTGTCATACCCCCACCCTGATATCAGACCCATTCTATAACAGTGGCACCATGCAGTATTTGTCCCTCTGTGACTGAGATATTTCACTCAGCATAATGTCCTCCAGGATCACCCACTTTGAATAATATTGCATGAGTTCCTTGTTTTTCAATGTAGTGCCATTTTTTAAGACATAAATGATACAAGCAGTCCGTGGATTACAGATGAGATCAATGCCTAAGTCTTTAAGAATTTATAATTCAATCAAAACAGGTGCATATGTGCTTTATTTAATCTTACTTGAGTGCAAGACAAGGCTCAAAGCCTTTCCAATAACTTAAGAACAAGTAAGGATGAAAAAAAATTAAAAATAAAACTAGTAAAGGTAATTGAAGTGAAGAGTGTTTTGAGTAGAGGTTCATTCAGTCATTTTAGAGTGAGGGTAAATTTACCTAATGTTAAAGGTAGAGTAGGAATTGTCTATAAATCTGACCTTTGTAACCCAGGGAGTGCTTGTAACAGATAACATGCTCTGTAGTTTGCAAAGAATTTTTAAATGCAGTCAGTCCTCAGAACTCCCCTATAACATGGGCATAGTGTACAGTGATGATGATGGTGGTCAATCTTTAGTCCATGGATTAAGAAAATAATTAAGAAGCTAAGCAATTTAACTATTAAATGACAGAAACTTCTTAAAGCCAGACTTCACTACTATAGCTCTTTATGCATATTGATATTATAAAATGACAATCTAGTCATATTAATGTTTTTGACAAAAAAAATCTCCCTTCAATTTTTCTAATCTTATATAATTAATCAAGAATCTTTCTGGTATAAAAATAATGGACTACTGAGTGACTTTAACCCATCAAGAAGTCCACAGTCTAAAATTTAGTGACACCACATTTTTTTTCTGTTTTCCTCTGTGTTTGGTATGGAAAACTTTACATTTGGGTACGTGAATGACATTTTTTAAGTTTGCTTAGCATTAATCAGATCCTTAGCTCCTGACAGTCTGAGTTAAAGAAACATCACTTCACCTAAACAATCAGCCTTCAAGTCATACTTGCTTTAGGTCATCTTCATTTCCATGGATAGTTTGAACAATATTTGAACAATTGGGTAAACTAACCATTTTAAGGTATTTGTTTTCTTTAGAACAAGAAAAACACAGATTCTTGGATGTGATGCATATCATTTTTTAGTCAGAATAGCTTTTTCTTAAAAGAATGGATGTTTGTTTCCTATTCCTAATCACAGCTTCAATAAAAATTACTTAGAGTTGAAAGCATTCATAAGAAAGTTGACATCAAAACTGATGGAACACAGTTATCTCTTCCAAGAATATCTCTCTTTATGAAACAGAATCAGTGGGTAAGCTGTTTTGGGAGATGCTAACAGCTATTTCTGGTACAGGTTCAATCACCTGTGGATTCTGCCACAATGTCGCCAGTAGAGAGAACAGCAGCCTGGGTTCTGAACAATGGGCAATATGAAGAGGATGTGGAAGAAACTGAGCAAAATCAAGATGAAGCCAAGCATGCTGAAAAGGTAGAAACCTAATCTGTGTTTATTTACATATTCATTGTAACAAATGAGAGCCCACTGACCCACTACCATGGAGTCTTCCCCCTCATACCAGACCAATAGGACAGAGTAGAATTGCTTCAAAGGATTTCTAAGAGTGCAGTCTTTACTGAAGCAGGCTGCCTCACCTTTCTCCCATGGAGCAGCAGGTGGATTTGAACTACAACACTTTTCGTTAGCAACTGAATGCTTTAACCATCATACCATCAAGACTCTGATAGGCCACTAATAGAGGTTATCTAGCTAAGGGCATAAACCTTTCCCCGTTTGCTTAGGGTTTATGTTAACCATCATGTAGTTAGTGATATCTTTGGGTGAATAGACTGGAAATGTCCATCATACTAAGTAGTTGAACTGTAACATTTTCTCTTTTTTTATAAAGTGATTTGCTTTGCTTTTGAGGATACCCAGCTGTTTATTTTTAGTCTCTTTAGCTGAATATTTAATGTTACCATGAAGTAGTTATTAGTCTGTAACCGAAGAGGACCAGACATCTTGTTTGTATCTTAGTAAGAATTTTTTTTTGCCTGTTAAAGATTTTAAAAATCCAGCCCTTTAGACAATTTTAAAAAACACATTAACTGTCTGTATTTTGAGTTTTACTTTCTTTTTAAAGAAAATTTGACATGTAATAGGATTATCCAGCCAGAACTCTGGCATCACATATGGCATTATTTCATCTAATTGACAAGACAACTAGCTGCTTCTTGCAAATTGGCATGACCCTGAATTACATTTATTGATGTCATCTACCTCTTAAAACTGTCACAAAACCTGTCATCTCTGACATTCTGGATTAACAAGTGTATTTTGGGAACCTGCTGGGTAAGCAGAAGTTAGTTGTCTAGTTGACCATTAAGTGAGGTAATTTTATGTAATAATAAATTGTGTTTTATAAATCACCATGCTTATTAATCATCACTATTAGTTATGAAGAATGTCAGTAGACTATCCATGAGAAAGCTTATACTTCTCACCTTACCTAGAAAATATGACTACAGCAACTTTAGTATAAGAAAGGACCATATAATGAATTGAATTAGGGAGAAAAACACCCACATATGTTCCAGGAAACAGTACCAAATATGTAGATGAGTTACGTGATGAGAAAGGTCAATGGCAATGGAAGTCGGTCCTAGAGAGCATCTGCGAAGACCTGGTATTGTAGTGCATCCTATACTGTGTTGCTAACAAAAGGTCTGGCAGGAGCAAGATGGACATCCTCCTCCTACAAATACTTGCAGACTCAGAAGCCTGATGGAGACTTGCCCAGAGTCAGAATCAACTCAGCAGTGGTGGGTTTGGTGTAGGTGGTTAAGAGAACATGTAGGTTGTTCTTTACTTAGTTAACACTTATAACCAGAATACTTCAAAATGTTACTGTTAGAGAAGAAGTAGCACTAGCCCACTCTGCCATGTACCCCACTCAGTAGCTTAATGCTGTAGTGATTGTTACTTTCTCTGAAGGACTGATCCTAGGAGAGAGCAAGAATAAGCCAGGATATGCCAGAAACCCTCCAGTGCAGGTGATGAGTTACAGATCATTCCTTTAGACAACTGGCATTTGACTCAAGTGATTTGTTAGGCTTTAAGTGCCTAGAAGTTATTTTAGAAGATGACCTTCTCCCATGTGATACCATCACAGATTGGACGTGGCTGGCAGCAGCTGGTAGTTTAATGTGGAGAGAGACACATAAATATGTAGATTGTGAATGTCATGTTGAGATTGAAGCTGTAATGTTAGGAGAAAGGTAAAGCTACCATAACATTTATGACTTAAAGGACATCAGTAACGCATGGAATGGCAGTTCAGACAGCAGTCCAGCTTAGAGTTGTTTTTGTGAAAAAGTAAATCGCTACATTCTACAACCAATAAAACGCCAATTTTTTAATTTTATTTTTTTTTTTTTACTTTTTTTCTGCGATGCCTCTTCTCTGTGCTAGTATGAACAGGAAATTTCTAAGCTAAAGGAGCGCCTGCGAGTATCCAGCAGGCGGCTGGAGGAGTATGAGCGCCGGTTGCTGGTGCAGGAGCAGCAGATGCAGAAGCTACTGCTGGAGTACAAGGTCCGGCTGGAGGACAGTGAGGAGCGGCTGCGCAGGCAGCAGGAAGAGAAGGACAGCCAGATGAAAAGCATCATCAGCAGGTGAGAGGGTCAGCTGGTGGGAGGTGTGGCCAGTAGGGGATACCAAGAGATGGGAATATAAGCAAAAGGATCTCAGTGGGAATGGCAGCAAAATCCCTCTTCAAGCCCGTGGAACCCTGTGGTACTCAATTCTTATGTGATGACTGACTGTATTTCTTAAAACCTCCTAAATGTGGGGCCTTACTGCACACTCTATGAAGACAGATTCTATCTATTTTTCCTTGATCCACAACCATTAGAGAAAATAAAACTCTAGGAACTCACTTGAGATTTCTAGAGGAGCACTGGATTTTAAAAGAAATCTGTATATTCAGTGTCTGAGACTTAATTTTTTGCAGAATACCTGAAGACATGGAATGGCATTTCACTGGATATATTCAAGGCCAGAGAACCAAAAGAGTGTGCCATAAATGCCAAGGGGAAATTAGAAAGGAAAAAAAAATTCCATTTCCGTTAAGTTGGTGTGGCCACTACACCATGTCAGGGTAGAGCTGTGTTTTGTAGCGTTTTCAAAGTTGTGACCTTTCAGAAGCAAATTACCAAGCCTTTCTTCCAGAGCACCTCACAGTGGGGTCAAACTACAAAGATTGTGATAGATAGTCAAGCACTGGAGTATTTCAACTGCCCAAGCACTCCTAAGGGAAGTTAAGGGGAGGGTACCTTAATTTTACCAAATATGTTCATGGAAAGGCATTTTTTATACACTTTAGAAATAATTTGTTTAATCCTCATTCTAATCCCTTAGGTCACCATTGTTGTCATTTTATAAACCAGGAGACAGGCACAGGCTTATGAAGTCACTTGGCCAACATCACGAAATTAGTGTTGGAATCGGGACTTGCACCCAGACAGTAAGACTCCAGAGTCCATGCCCATAAATACTCAACTTAATATTGTCAAATTCTGTGGACTCATCAAGTAAACAGGCCAGGAAAGACTTATTGTGTAGTAATATAGAGGTCACGGGAAGCTTTACTAAGGAGTTTTGATGACACTGGGATTAATCACTCAGTGCTATCTGAAAGGTCACTTGTTCTAACACTCCAAGCAAGAAAGACAAGGCAGCATGCTTCCGTAAACATTACAGCTTTGGGAGCACCGTGAGGCAGTTTTACCCTGTCCTTATTTTTTGCTGTGAGTCAGAATCAACTCAACAGCATTGGACTTGGTTTTGTTAACCTTACATCAAGTATTTTCAGTAGTCATGGAGCTGAAACATCAGTGGGATAATATGTGAACAGTGGATGACCAAAAAACCCTAGACCTGGTAAATCTGGTGTACTCTTTGGGGAATTGTTGGTTGCTTTGATATTATAAGATGATATGTATTATACGCTAAGGAAGTGACCTGGTACAGTTAAGGGAAGAAATGATTATGAAGAAACTGCCATTACAGAGAAGAACACATATGAGATCTAGTTCAGTAGAGGAGTCAGCTTTGCTTATGTCCTTCAGAAGTAGGAAAGAAGGAAGAAAAGATGGCTGCCAATGCAGTTAGATTAGGTGGAAGAGAAAACACTGAGCAACTGTGAGTTTTCAGTTTCTTCTTCTCTATATTAGCTCTCCTTTTAAGATACGAATGTCTCCTTTTGCCACATTTTAGGCTAATGGCTGTGGAAGAGGAATTGAAGAAGGATCACGCTGAGATGCAAGCAGTCATTGATGCAAAGCAGAAAATCATTGATGCACAGGTGAGCCGGCTCTGATTACTGTAGGGCACTCATTCCTAGTAACTGCCATTTCCTGGCTTCCCATTCTTTGCAAATGCCAAGGCAGGTAGTGGAAACTGGGACACTGAGAAGTTCTTGATGCTACCTTTGGAAGATTCAGAGTTTCTGTGTGATCGTCCTTACTTTTCTGTTTTCTCACTGGTGACAAGTCTGTTAAACCCAGCAAAGTGTTAGCGTGCATAGTGCAGTTGCTTGACCAATCTCAAGCTAGTGCATGATGACCTTTACTTCTTTCCTTATGGAAAGGAGAGCATTCTCAGAGTGGGTAATGTGGAAAGTACACTGCATGTGTCTGGCTTGTGACCTCCACTGACTGTTGCTTGGCTGTGATGTTCACGGTCTTGTCAATCACGTCCACTGTGCCATCAGCCTCTAGCCTCAGACAGCAGCAGGACTGCAGGGGAAAGAAAGACAAACTTGTAGAGGGCACGTTTCCTTGCTGTTCTTTTGTAGAGGGCTCAGCATTGCTGCTTGGTATTCGCTTGGCTGCTTGGAATTTATTGGTGCTGTGCTTAGAAAGCCTCTTTGGGTAGAACTTAGAAGAAAACAGGTTGATGACATCAGAACCTAGGCCGCAGCTCACTGTTGCTTATACCTGGAACAGCAGTAGGGGAATGGCTGCTAAGAGCATCTCATCGGGCACTTCACTGATCAAAAGGAAACCCAGAAAGGAGAGGCTGCTAACTACTTATTTTTATCAAGGTGAAATATAGTTGAATTAGGATGAAACGAAAAAACTAAAGGGATGGTGTTTTGCTAGTGCCTGGTTTAGCTGACCTGAGGACAAAGCAGCCAGGTTTGCATTTCTCACCCTTAAATATGACATTGTGTCCCTAAACTGTGAAATGAAAACGAGAACAAGGCCTTTATACCTAGATGTTGTGTTCCCTTCTCTGCACATCACCCAGCCATCAGTGTGTTCTTAAACATGCACCTTCTACCTCCACCCTAGTTTCCCAGTAAGGTTAGTGTAAGGCAGAATTTCATTTTCGTAGGAATTAGGAGTTAGACTGACAGCTTAGCCACGAGGAGAATGCTTTATGAGTCTCATACTCCTCCTTCATGGAGTCACTGTCAGCATAGTTCTCCAGAATGTTGGGAACGCTAGTGTCCATAGGATGCTGTGCTGCTGACCCAAAGGTGGCTGCTCTCTGACATTTCAAAACCACTAGCAGCTTGAAAGAGGAACAGTCTCCTCCCGTGCAATTTACAGCCTCGAAAAACGCACTGGAAGGTCAGCTATGAGTCTCCGTTCTGACTTGATGGCAGTGAGTTTAGAGTTTTTTATATTTTCACCTCCTAACAATCTCTGGTGGCCTAGTGTCAAGAAGCTGCGCTGCAATCCTAAAGACACATGGTTCAAGGTCACCAGCTGCTGTATGGCAGACGGATGGGCAGTATCCTGTGCGATTAACCGCCTTTGAAAACCTGCTGGAGGGTCAGCTGTGAATCAGTTCTGACTTTATGGTACACAACAACAACAACAATAATCACAAGAAAGGTTGCTGTAATTAACTTGCTTGCTCCTTTTTATCCTTGCCAGGTGTTGTCTCGGAGGTAGATGTAGAAAGGTAGCAGAGACAAGGTCATATCTATATCTACATAATAGACACATTCACTCCACAGGCTTAAGGTAAACAGCTGGGGGAAAGAAGGCAATCTATTCAGGAAAACTAATGTAAAAACAAGTTTTCCATTTGTGTTTTCATATGACAGTATAATGAGATTAAAACAGATTGTTTTACCAACTTCAGCCATTTTAAAGACTGTCATCTGAAGAGAGGGAGCCCGACTGTGTCCCAGATGTGGCTCTGTGCCAGGACAGCTTCCTTGTTTGCTTCTGGAAATCTGTACCCTCCTCCTTACTGTGAAGTCTAGAGTGAAGTGACTGGGTTTGAAACAGAACTTGTTGACCTGGAAGGTGAATGACAGAGAGGGAATCTTGTTTATTTATCAGGGCTCGGGGGGGGGGAGGCTGGGGAAGACCTTCTGACAGTTGGTCAAAAGATAATGTATGGGCAAGAGAAATGTTTTCAAAAAGTCCACATCAAATTTCTGGTCTGGCTAAATTAGATAATATTTGGGGCTCCTACCTCAAGATAGTGGTTCTCAACCACTATCCATAGACTATTTTGGTGGAACAAAGGGTACTTTCCATAGATCTCTATCCAGCTAACCTTACTGGCCACTCAACAGCCACTGTCCCTCTCAACTAATGGATCAAATTACCTTTACTAGAAAGAAGACATGATTTGGATGAGCCCCTCTCATTGAGGTGACTGATTATTTTTTATGCTATTGGTAGTTTTTAAAAATATTAAAAATGTATGTTTTTGAAAGGAATATTAGACTTGGGCCCAGCATTTCCCAAAATTTAAGGCCCAGGTGCCCAGTGAACTGGTTTTAGTCTCTCTCAGCAACCCTGTGCTCCCGCAGGAAAGACTTGTCCCTGAATTCATTTCTTCCTGTCCTTGAGTGACCTCATGCTCCAAGGCTTGGGTCAGCTGTTTCCTTACTAGAACTGCAGATGGATACGCACTCCATCAGAGACGCTTCACCTGATGTAAGTTCCAGTCGGGTCACCTGTCCCAGTCCTTGTAGCATGGACATGGGGAGGAGGGAACTGAGGAAACTTTCTCCAACACTCTATCAGACCAGGCAACGTGTCACCTCTCACTCCCCAGCATGAGTGGACACTGTGACTCCCAGGATCTCTCCATGTGACTCAGATGGAGAACAGAGAAGGGCTTCCTCCTAGGAGAAGCAAAGCAGCTGCCTAGTTACTGTTGCAAGTGATATCTCCGCTGTGTTAAATTACAGGTCATAAATGGAGATGAGATTATTCAAACAGGCAAGTAAACCCTGTCCGTTCTCTAGCTGAGCAGTTGCCAGCCCTGGCGCAGCGCACGGGCCTCCTACACATTCCAGCTCCTGCCACTCCCGCCCTGCCAGTCCTCAGTGTCAGGATCACACTAGCCTTCCAATCCAGGCTGACTCACAATGTTGGAGCATCTTCTGCCAACTGAACTCAACTTTGAAAAGTCCCTGTTTTAAGGAGCTCTGGTGGTGTAGTCCATAACAGATTGTGCTGCTAACCAAAATTCCATTTGATGGCTTTTTATTATTATATTGTTTCTTGTTCTGCTTTGAGGACTAGGCAATGGGGAAATAAGAAGGGAAATATCTCCACTTGGACACTTGCAGCCCTTTTCTAAGGGGGTTGCTTGGATTGCTTTGCTCCCCTTTTAGGCAGTAAATATTTAAGGCTGGTTCTTGGCCTCCTTTGTGACCCTTATAGAATCAAATGATAGTTCATGACTATTTCTTTTTTAAATGAGCCCTGGAGAATACTGCCTTCTTCAGTATTGGCCCCAATAATTTTTCTTTCTTAAATAATTTTAAGAAATTACCCTTATTCTGTTCATGCACAATTCTTAACCGCAAAGGAGTTTCAGTTCTTTTGGTTTTCGGTGGCTGCTGACTAATCCTTACCTACTGACTTATACAAGATCTGTACTTGAAAGCATAATAAAAAATCTCTTGGCTATAATTTTTAATAAATTATTTATATCTTAAAAGTCTCACAGGCTTTCTTATGTGAGTTTTTCCTGTCCTTAAAATTCAGTCACATACCCTAGGTGAAAAGCACTTTCTTACACGTTATTAATAGCTATAGTACAGACTTTGTGTATCATGCCACCTGAATTCTCCATGAGGAGAATTTTTTAAATAATATTTTAGGGGTTTTTCCTGCCGTTGCATTTTTTAAAATATAACCATCATACTGCCCCTATGCACCATTATTCCCAGAGCAGGATATCAAAGGGAGGCATTAATTGGTAGTGTTTTATATGGGGTTCCCCCAAAAAAATAACTTCCCCCAAGGCAGTAGTGTCTGTTGTTCATCCCTCTTTCAGGATGTTCCTACCAGAACTGTATTATATTACTACCCTATTGGGCTAGTGGTATGAAGCTGCACTGCAATCACGAAGACATGGAATTTAAATCCACCAGCTGCTCCATGGGAGAAGGATGGGCAGTCTCCTCCCATGTGATTTACTGCCTCAGAAACCCACTGAAGGGTCAGCTATGGGTCGGTTCTGACTCAATGGCACATGAAAACAACAACAATATAGCTATTACTTCAATAGCAGCAGCATCTTCAAACCCTCAGCCCTCATATTTCCTCTCTGGTCGACAACTAAACCTCTCTGTTCTTGTCCTTAGAGAAGTCCAGAGACCCCCAGGGAAGGAATGCCCCTTTTGGCTTTGAAATGGTTCCTCACATGCTGTTTTCTTTATAATTTCATTGGTCTTTTTCAGCATTAACTTGTTTCCTGAAAAATGTAGACTTCATATTAGACAGGCACTGAAAAGATCTGTCTGGCTGGTGAAACAAAGATGAAGGTGGTTCTGTCATCTTCAGCTGGCCCTGCTTCCCTTGAAGCTGCTTCTTTTTGGCCTTTTTCTCCACCTTTGGTCTTTTTTAAATTTTAAACAATTCTTTTCCCCAATGTAATGTATAGAGCAATTTAAAAAAAATTAATAAAAGTATCTCTTTGCAAAGATTGGAAAGTTCCCGGCATCCCCCTGAGCTGGAATGGGTCTAGGAGCCTGTGTTCTCTGTGTGTCTCCATGTGTTCTGTTTACGGCATCCCTCTCCAGCCACATCTCCCTCCCCACATTCCAATAACTCCCTGGTCTGAGCTTCTGGCTGCCTTTTCCTCTTCTTGCTGTCGCATCCTCACTTTGTTGGTGACTATCAACTGCCACCATGTGTAGTTTTAAGTTTGAGCACAATGTGAATTCTTTCCAAATGTGATTGCTGCGCCCCCTTTGTGGGCTGTGAACCCATAGATGACATGCACTGTCACCTCTGTGAAATGAAACCTCTGGTGCTTCTTTCTTTGCCACCTCCTGTAAGGCAGCTTGGCACATCTGTTGCAGAGACTCAAGTAGCATGTGATGTCATTTTTACATGGCATCGTAGTACCTCAAGGGATCATTAATAACAAGTCCTGCTCTGCTGACAGGAAAAAAAGAAAAAAGGGAGAGGAGAGACATGGAGACCTCTTGGGCCCAGGGGAAGCTGAAGCTGACTAGTGCGTAGAAAGAGGCAGAGATGTTCCATTTGTCTGGAAGCATCATGCGTCCTGCTGTCCAATAAAAAGCATTGGAACAGTCATTCTAAAAGGGGCGTAAGGGGGTGTCAGTTTCATGTGTGTAGCCTGAATAAAGCCATGATTGGTGTGTTGTAGGAAAAACGGATCGTGTCCCTGGATTCCGCCAACACCAGGCTGATGAGCGCGCTGACCCAAGTGAAGGAGCGGTACAGCATGCAGGTCCGCAATGGCATCTCCCCCACCAACCCCACCAAGCTTTCCATCACGGAGAATGGTGAATTCAAAAACAGCAGCTGCTGACGGGCTCCATGAATAGACAGACTGTGGAAGGAGACAGAAGGAGATGTACCCGCTCTCCTGGCCCCAGCCCTTTCCCCTGCCCCTCCCAAGTTTACAGAATAGTGCTACTTCAGAATGGCTGTGGGAGACCGAAGAAAGGAACCTTGTCTTTCAGGGCGTGAGGCGAAGACTCCAAGGTCGACACTTCCCCCGTGTCTCTTTGTACATAGGGAACTTAGTTCTGGACAATGTACAGAAAATACCACTGTAAAATACCAAAAGGAAGTTAATAATGTAGATTACCTTTTTAATTATTGCTATTTTTATTATTGTTTTGTTGAAAGCACTGCATTTGTCAGAGGAGGAAATGTAGGAAGTATGTGTGTGTGAAGAATGAGCCTGTGGGTTCAGTAGCTAGAGACCAAGTGTCTGTTAGAAGCACATGGAGTGCAATAGGCCGTTGTCAGAGTGAACTTTTCAGGGATTCATCTGCCAGTTTAAAAACCCCACTCCAGCCCTTGTCCTTTCAGAAGTGGAAAAAAAAAGCAAATACTATGATCTAAACAAAACAGTAATTTATTCTGTTGATCAACCAGAACTGCTGCTTCTGGTCGACAGCTAATCTGATTTGGGGATTCACTTTTAGAAGACACAGCTGAGGGCTGTAGCATCAAAACTAGGCGTTAGGAGTGATTTCTATGGAACTCCTGTCAATTTGTTTATTTCCTTCTGTCTAGAGCAGATGGGAATTTTCCATTTTAGATAGGGGACCTTTTTTTAAACCCCAATTGTAATAAAAAGTGTTTTCCTCTTTAGAGTTTACAAACTATAAAAATCTGTGTCTCTCCTTACCATCTTCATCTTCACACACTCACTGCCCTTCCCTCCCCCCATGATGGGAGCACCATCGCCAACAGGGTGCACCCTCCCCAGGGAGGTTATTCAAATATGTGATCCATAAGCCATCCTAAAGAGACCCCCTTTCTTCCTCACAGAGAAGGGCTACCCACACCGCAACAGGTTTCCTGAAGGTTTCCTCATATTTCCTCATTTAAAAAGGCGTTTCTAAGTTTTGTTTGGGATGCCTATTTTGTCCTTTGAGCTAGCACATCTTTGGTCAGGGTAGTTTTATAACTTTTTAATTGCTTCTTCGTCCTCTTCGTCTCTCAGTAAAATTTGGAAACTAAATCCAAATATGAGGCATCCCTCTTAAATGTGATGAGTACTCTTATTAAAAAAAGAAATTTGCAAGTGTGAGGATGGCACATTCCAGTTATTGTTCTCAGGAGGAATGATTAAGTCCATACTGTTAGTAAATTTGACCCTAAGGACCTGAGTTCAGCGTTTGTCATCCGTGACGTCATTGCAGGACATAATGTATTCTACGACAGAAAAGTTCACAGAGACTAATTTCTTTCCTTTTTTCCCCAAGGTGTGAAATGTCATCTTGAATGCAACTTGATTATCAGAAGTATGGAATGTTACATGCTAAACAGACATATTATATAAAAATATATATACATATATATTCACACATGTGTACATATAACCGCACAAATAGGAAAAGTCTGCATTTTCTGCTGTCAGATATGATGTTAAGCGGTTCTTAATCACTTTAAGCAAGATCTAAGCTGTTTTACACTGAGAAAGCAACAGTGTTTCTCATTAAGTTAATGATGTTTATTTTTAAATTATGAGGCTTAAATATTGAGAACAGACAAGACCTAGGGTAGATGTATGCATGAAGTGACAAGAAGTGTTTGTTTATAACAGAATATTAAGGGAACAAGAGGCCCTGTATAGTGTCCTCCTCCTAGGGAAGCCCACACTAGACTCCGAGCCTTCTTTTTTTTCTGGGGCCCAAGCTTGCATTCTGCCCTTTTGGTACTGCTCACTCTCAGGTGGATCTTTGTGCATTTCAAGAAGCCCACCACAACCTCGCCCCACATCCTTTTTTTTAATGGGGTGGGAAAGGCAAGAGTCCTCATAGCCGGTTTATACTAGATGGGATATAAAACAGTAGCGTTTCACCATGCTTCTCTGTCCTTCAGATTCAATGCCCAGGTATACAGGCACACATGTGTTTTCTTGGCCCTTGGTAGTTATTTTACAAATTTTTATCTCCATCCTTCAACCTGTGGGCACTATCTCACCAAAATCACTTAATAGAAAAAGTAGTTACCTACCATTCTGAAGCAGTGCCCTTAGTTGGAGAAGGGAGAAATATAAACATAGACTGTTCTCCCCCGTGGCTCTTCTCAGCTCTGGTCATGTTTAATTTATTCCTTGTAAAAGCCTTCAAGTATGCTTCAGAAACCTGGTCAAAGAATTGTCAGTTTCAGTGGCCTTAAGTATGTAACGTGAGTGATCTTTTGCACTGAGGTTTGGAAGCTCTCAAATGTTGGTAATGGATTACAGAAGACTGATAAGATTACCTCTATCAGAGGGAAGGGTTACTAAAAAAACCCCAATGTGCTTCTGATGGATGCAGGATATATTGTTAGCAAGTGGGAGCTCCTTAGAGGGTTATCTGTTAAATGCTAAAAACTTGCAGGTGGATTATGCAGCCCTGTTATCAGGTTATCTTGAATGAAGAGAAAAGAATAAGGGGAGTGGGACATGGAAATAAATTGGAAGTTCCAAGCTGTTGCCAGATATGCTTTGAGCCTACCCCTCTCCATGTTCTTAAGTCTACTCCTATTCCTGCCTAAGTAAGTAATTTCTTTAGAGAATGCTGTAATCTATACAACTTATTCTTGACATTTTTCCCTAGTATGGAAGAATGCAGCAGTAATTGTTTCTGGAGGTGTTGTTTCAAGCCCAAAATATCCCTACCTCTATTTTGCTGGAAGGAAGTTAATGTTTGAAGAAAAAGAGATGAGTTAAGACAGCTGAGCCTTGCACCCTTCAAGGATAGAGCAGGGTTGAGTGAAGTCTAAAATTCAGGTGAAGTGCTCAAAAAGTGCTTGCCTAGCTGACCACCAAACTAAGCCATTACCGAGAACAGTTCAATATTGGTAGAATTCAGGAAAAGTACTTCGTACTCCCTTTATGTCACTGGAGCAATAAGCCTTCTGAGCCTAAACAGCCCAAATAGTTCCATCAGATCTCTTATTTCCTGAGTCTCTGCTATAAAAACCATGACAGAGGGGAAGCGATAACCACGTAACTATAACTGGAACAGTAGTGGACATTTGAGCCCTTACTGTACCGCAGACACAATGAGCATGTGACCATGGTGAGGTATCACACTGCTATAGCTTAATGCTTTTTTTTAACCTGGTGTTGCATAGGTCAGATTTCTCTTTCTGGGTATTTGCATCCACTTGCCTTGTGGATAGCATGAGACTCTAGTACTTACAGTGAAAGAAAGATTTTCCTGCCTCACACTACTGTCCATTTCTGTAAGCATCAGCTGCCCACAAGAATTAGGGAGGATTCAGAAGCAAAGCTTTTCTGGTCTGTTGCGACCGGGGTGGTGGTAATGGACCTGTAGTTCTTAGACTCTTGACTGTCATCCTCTTAGCCCTTCTTTCAGAATCTCAGAACAAGACCATTTCCATCCAGTGTCTGTTCTGTGATTTTTTTCCCCCCTTTCAGGAGTGTCATCCACTTACTAAACAACATGCCTCCGTGACCTCTATGAACTTTGATGAATGTCAATAGTTGTAAGGGGCTTCAGGCCTTTTATTCATAGGCTTGCTATGTCTCGAAGGCAATCAACAATAACCTAGGTTTAGTTCTCTCCAGTTTGGAGTCTTGGGAAGGCTAGATGTGGGTCTAGGTTTGGGGAAGGAACCCTCTTCATGGGTACTTCAATTCCACCATGACACTGGCCCCAGAAGAGGCTTGTCAATCCCTGGAGTGCACCTTGCTTTTCTTAACTACACTCTGGAGAGGCACCTTCTGCCACTGACAGGGAGAGCTAGAATGCATTCTCCATACTCTGTTCCTCACCCTTTCCAAGTATAGCTCAATCCTCCTCTTGCCCCCACAGAAAGCATCGTAGTTGCCTTCCCATCCTCTATATGAGGGCCAAGAATTTGTGATACTGTGGGTTTTTTCCAATCAATTTATACTTTCAAAAGACCTATTTTAGTACTTTTTTTTTTCCTTAAGTAGGAGATGTTGGAATGTTTCCTTTTTTAACATAGACGCCCTTTCTTTTTCTTGTTTAGATGATTGTCAGTAGTTCTAGAGGCATTGTCTTGTCCTGACCCAGTTAGGAATGCTTTTGAGTTTAGGGAAAGACAGAAGTGATAAAATTTATATGAGATAAAATGAATATGTCATGAGCAGTGGAAGGACCTGAGGAAGAGACATGATCCTGAAAGGGACTGACGCTGAACAGCCCTCTCAGTGGCTGAGAAGTTCGGAGGAAACAGCAGATTAAAAGCCCTTGCCTGTCTGTCAAATATAGACACACATGGAGCTGTTTCTGTATACATGCACCACACACACACACACACAGAGTTACAAGGGCTGCTTTTTTTCTGAATGTGCATCCATTTTATAAAGGAGGGATCCCCAAACTTTGAGTTTGTAAGATGTTATGGCAGTCACTCTTTCCTCTTAAAAAAATGTACAGTATGTGTTTTATATATATATGTTAAAATCACTTGAACTTGATTTCGTCTGGCATTTCCCCAGTAATTTAAATATTATTCCTGATACCAGGGGAAATCAGAAAAAGAAAAGTAGTGGGACATCACTGATCAGAGACTAGGATCCAGAAAGGATTGGTTTTGCTTCTGATCAGTTAAACCTCAGGTGTTCATGTCACCCACCCTGCACAACTTGACAAGTGCGGGAAGCCACCCAAGAAAAAGGACGCGGTCGCTTTTACTCTTATTTCAGCATGCATTTAAATTCCCCACTCAGTTCTTACATTTCCTTGAAATGACCTCATTTTTCTCTAGGAATTTTTGTAGCTGGGGACTTTGAAATCACAGTAGCTGTTGTACAGGGATCTCCACAGAAGCTGTGTGTTAGGTGTCTGTCATCTGTGTATGGGTGCAAGTATTTGTGTGTCAGTCTCATAGTTGTGTCATTTCTCAACCCCCAAGGGAAACGTCTCTGTTCCCCATTTACCAAAAGGCTTGATGTGAATTGAATAAGACCACTATCCTACAGAAAAGGTCAAGTAAGTAAAGGTCACATCTTGACTGGTGCTTAGACATTTCTTTGTTGTTTTGGAAGGAACGAAAGCAGATAGCAGCAGCGCATTAACCTGGATCACACCTGTGAGCAATTTACCTTCTAAAATATTATTTCTTTCTCTTTTTTTCCATCATCTCCAGGGCCTTAATAAGAGTGTGTTAATATACACATGACTATTTTACAATGATAGCTCTAAATAATTTATTTTTTATTTCAAGAAAGATAAATACACCTTAGAAAGACAAAACTCAAGATTTTATTTTCTTTTTAAAGCCATATTTTTGTGCTAGTAGCACTTAGATTGTTCCATTTGTGAGATCCATATCTGCATTTCATTACCTGGGTTTGTTCTAAAGAAGATTTATTTTTGTTCTGTGAATAATTTTTGACAGTTCTTGTACATACAGATATAGATACATTTGAGGTCTTTTATTGATATTCCTACAAAGAATACAAATAAACTTTAAACATTTCCGAGTAAACGTGCTTCCGTACTTGAATATTACTGCCTTACTCCTAGCATGTTTCTGGTCATTATCACACTTGGAGAAAAAGGAGAAAACACACGTAGAAGCACTCTGAAGGCATAGTTTAAATTTAAAAACAGTATGTCTTAGAAATTCTCAACTCACAGCTTAAAAAGTACTTGAAAGGAGG